AGAATGTGCTGTGGCAGTGGGGGAAATATGTGCAAGTGTGCATACTTTTTAAAGCTTGTCCTGGTGTATATTATGCATGCTTAATACACATTTTCAGTATCTAGTAGTTATAGCTGTTTGTAATGGGATAACAATTCAGTATTACTGATATTTTAATTGTGCCTGTAATGTGATGCAGTAATGGATAACATCCCAATGGACTGGGGTCTTCTTTTAGCTTGATTTATTTATCAGATTTTTTGTTGTGTGGGTCATTTTATTTTTTTAAGTGGAAAAAATAAAAAGCAAAAACCTACAACGCTCCTGTTGGGAGGCAGGTTGGGTGTCAAATGGGATCATAGCATAGCTTCGTGAATCTTTCCTTTTAATTCTCCTTCTTTTCCCTCATTTGGCTTCAAAGACATTTAAATTTGTTGTTGTTACTGTGTCGTTCAGCCAAATCCAGACGGTGTCATGTTAATGTACGTTGATATATATGGGAACAGATCCTCGTTGTTGAAGAGCCTCAGCGCTATGAAATCCACAATGAAGGGTGGAAGACGAAGCTGAAGATCAACAACCTGACAGATGAAGACTCTGGCTCCTATTACTGTGGAGCCGTGTACCGCATCGGCACCTCAATGAGCCATGTGGAGCTCAAGGTCAGTAAACCTTGTGGAGCTGTCAGTAAACAAAAGGAACTCTGTACCTGTACAGCCCCTGAGCAGTTTGTAATTCAGACCCAGGATTTATTATTAGTTTGATAATAAATAAATAATTTGTCTCTCTTTGCATCCCATTTGTAAAATAAAAAAAATTATGTTATTAATCATGACCTGTCATGATTGGTCTGGTGAACCACTGAGAACTCCACAAGCTTCAAACTACAAAAACTACTCAAACATATAAAGCTTTTAAAACTACTTGGCAGAATAGACACTGAGCGCGATCTACTAATCCCATAAGATAAAACATCTGTACTTCTTTCCTGTGGATGTGACTGAAAAAAGTAGGAGTAGTGATATATAATATTTCCTCTTTCTGTACTGAAGATTATCAGCTTCATTGAGCCCCTGAAACCCTTCTTAACCATCCTGGCTGAAGTTATCGTACTGGTCACTGCCATTCTGCTCTACGAGAAAATTCATTCCAGGAAGAACACAGAAGAGGGTAGATAAACATCATCCAGCTCTTATTTGTATCACTATCATATACTTTTTGCAACATTTTGCGACAAAGCTTATTTTTAACTTGTATTTATCGGTCTCATTCTCAGAAAATCTGCCGAACGGCGACCAAAAGAACGAGCTGTGAGTACAATGAAGCAGTATTTCTTTTAAGATACAGTTTTCATAATCCAAGAATGACTTCTTTTTTTCCTGTCAGGCCTCAGGGAGAAGCTAAGGAGCTGGAGGGTAATACGTCCACGAGGCAGCGCAAAGTTTAAAGACTGCAGCCAGCTTTAAAACTCATTTTTAAAAGTGAACGCTAGCAACATTTATACGGTTATTGTGACATCTGTTATAACTGCATCACTTTGTTTCAACACAGAGTGCAACAGCTTCCAGCTAATCAACACTCGAATTTGCAACACAAGTTTCCTGTTGACTTCCTGTGCAGAAACCCAGACACGCTTTACTTGACACATCACGTAATCTTTGTCCCCTCTGCATTCTCATAACAGAAGTGACTTTCTCTTCTTGTTGGCAACACCGTAAACTTCAAATGACTTTTACCCGTTTTTCTTCTCTGTGGTTTGTAGCAGTGCCTTACACTCTTTGACTAACCTTTCACTGTGCTTCCAATGACTTTTGTCCTTGCAGTAATCTATCTACAGTACTTGAATAACATGTAAATCAAAATATATCTTCACATATTCGTCATATTTGTGCATCTGTTTTGCGTTTACGTGTAGGAGAATAGTCACAGAGTCATAGTTTCTTCCCTGCACCGTATGCAAACAAGCCGATTAAAAACCACACAAACCACCGTTTCAGTGTTGGATTCATTTTATTAAACTTATTTCCGAGCACTAAAGAAACGATTCAAAAATGTGTCTGTTAACACGTCAGCAGAGCAGTCAACAGAAAAATAAATCCGTGAAGTTTAGGATGGATTAAGCAACAATAACAAGAGTCAGTTTTGAAAATCTGCCATTTATTATTTTTTCTATAAATACAGTGGATGTTTTTTTGTCCTGAATAACCTTTGCACTTCCTCTTCCCCACGGAGAAAAGCTAAGCTGTCCCACGACACACAATCATGTACACCGTTGTAGCTGTGACCACAGCGAGAGGCGACACACCCTCAGCTGTGACTGTCAGAAACAAATCTGTATCACTGCATTTAGAAAGAAAACTAGAGCGGCTCGTTCCTCAGCCTGTGTGAGACATGCTAAGTTTGGCTGGAGTTAATGAATTTACTTAAACGTGTTGAAGCTACTATATTTTTGAACTCTTGTTGTGCGGCGCCAACACGTCTGTCGCAGAAGCAGCCCAGGCTGAGATGACGGGAGTCAGAAATATGTATTCACACAACAGATTCGCCCAAGATGCTACAGATATTTGTTAAATTATTGCTTCTTTCTATGCTTCCCTTAACTCTCAGTGTATAATACCCAACACACGCGCAAATTTCCATTGTGATCTTTCAGGCCTCTGTAATAATCAGGGATTATTACAGAGGTACACAGTATTTTTTCAGTATTTTTTCAGTACTTACTTTCACAGGAATACAGATTCTTCTTTTTTCAACATTACATTTCATACAAACTGGCAAACTTCACTCCCATCTTGCTCTTTAGAGAACAAAAAACTTAAGTGAAATCTGCCTAAAGATTTCCACCCCTTCCCTTACAATCCAACTACGGCTGATTCATGAAGAATTGAACCAGAAGCTTGACGACGCCATCGTTCAGTCCCACCACCTCTCCGTCCTGCACGCTCTCGTACAGTCGCAGGCTCTCTGTGCCCCACAGGAGGTTTTTCCTGGGGTTGTTGGCGTCAGTCTCCACAGAGAGCGCAACTGTGTTCAGCTGGTAGCAGAAGAAGGAGAAGAAGTGGCCGTCTGTGATCACGGCCTGGGACACGAAGGGTCTGGTGACATCCTCGTGGTTCCAGAAACCTACAGCGGGGAGAGGGAAGCATCAACATGAGCTACGCCTTCTCTCAGATTTAAAGCCAAATGGAGACACTGCAGTAATCCCATATTCCTGTATCAGCGTTATTCCTGCAGCATCATGAGTAATGCCACTGACCAGTCACTTTGTTAGCTCTGCAGCTCAGGAGGAAACAGACTAAACATAGTGGATATGTCATAGATTTGTCCTGTAACACTGCGTGTCCACAGGTGGAACAAGACACCCCTTAATATTACATTAGTTAAACACTTAGTTATTGTTTTTGAAAAGGTTTATTTCAACCTAAAGCATGATCAGACTTTTGGTCAGAAAGCTTTGCTGCAAAAAGGCAAAATTCTCCCCCCAAAAGTCACAAAGCTATGACATCACAGAGCGTAATTGGTCGGCTGCAATGACGATTCTGAACCAGTATTATTATTATTATGATAGTCGACACATACCCAGAGATTTCAGAGACACTATAGCACTGCCGGGCTAATAAAAAGCAAAACAACGCTCACTGCCACTTCATTAGGTACACTTGGCTATTAAGTGGATGCTCGCCTTTCGCCTTACGTCTTCATGGCATAGATTCATCGAGGTTCTGGAAACATTTCTCAGATTGGTCAATAGTGACACGACCGCACAACTGTTACTGCAAATTTGTCAGCTGCACATCCATGATGCAAATCTTCCGTTCAAACACATCCAAATGGTGCTCTATTGAATTGATATCTGGTGACTGTGGAGGCCATTTGAGTACTGAAAATTAATTTTCATGTTCAAGAAACCAGTTTGAGATGATTTAAGCTTCGTGATGGGAAGCAGCTGTCAGAAGATGGGTACACTGTGGTCATAACGGGATGGACACGTCCAGCAATACTCAGGCAGGCTGTGATTTTTAAAGGATGCTCAAATGGTACCAAAAGAAGCAAAGTGTGCCATTAAAATATCCCCCACATCATTAAACTACCACCACTACCAGGCTCAACCGTTAATGCCGAGTGGGATGGATCCATGCTTTTATGTTGTTTATGTTGTACTCTACCACCTGAATGTCACAGCAGAGTTCAAGACTGATGGATTCTGAGTTACTATTGCAACTGAAACAGTCTGACCAATCTCCTCCTGCCTCAGCCAGCTGCTCACTGGAATTTTCTTTGTAGATCATCAGTTTCTGAAATACTAAGACCAGGCTGAAGGAAATAGTTAGGCCAGAATCCTTAGTATTAAGAAATGCTAAAGACTTTGTGTTGGCGTAAGAATTTCAGAAGTTTCCGGTGTATGAGGAACAACGAACGACATCACGCCACATTCAAAGTCACTTAAACCACCTTTCTTCCCCATTTTGATGCTTGGTTTGAACTTTAGCAGGTCTTGACCGCATCTTCATGCCTAAATGCACTGAAATGCTGTCGATAGATGCTGATAGATATTATTGTGTGGCTGGTGAGTGTGTGACCTTTTTAGAAAATGTTTAGAAACCGACTTGAACATAAAGAAAAAGCTTTTCATAATGACATTTGCTCTGTTAACTTTCTGACACGTCTTTAAATCTCTACAGCGAACAAAGTAAATCAACTACATGAAGTCATAAATATGTATTGTAATGTTTTATAAACACAGCATCTCAGTTCTGTTGCACCTTTGCTGTGTTAGGAACTCACCTTGGTACATGGCCTGAGCTCCTGTCCAGGCGAAGAGGCTGGCGAGCGCGTTGGCTCTGAGGAAAACCTCCACTTGGTCAGCCTGCTGCTGCCGAACCATCCGGTCTCTGTGGTATCGGTCGGGCACCAGGTGGAACTGAGTGTGACCGTAGCACGCTGGGTCTGGTAGCTTTGCACCTTTAAATGAAACAGAGAGGCTTGTTATAAACAGAAAGTAGAGGGGATTCATAAAGAAAAAAAATGAGCCAAACACTGGGTAACCTCTGTGATAATGAAAACTTCAAATATAAAACCACCTACAGCTACATTATTATCATACTTTGCTATAGAAGCAGAAAGATTAAAAACAAGCAAGGTTGGGTTTAAAATAATTGTTCTCAAAAAACAAACTATACCTTTTACTAAATACCAGTTAGTTCCACATTGGCGCCCCCTGCTGACCATTACGATAAGTAAATAATGAGAAAAATCAACCTGATGACCTGTTAGTGAGACCAGAATTACAATTTGGGAACAAATCAGTTTGCTGCATTAGCCTTTGGGACAGTGGCCAGTTTTGGGGGCTCTGGATTTAGGCGGTATATATATTTTCTACCTCCTTTGCTCCCTACACGGACTGTTTTACTGAGCTTGCAACTAAAATCTGTTCAAACATGACTGATCGATAGAATCAGATATATTATAATAAAGGGAGACGGGACATTCAAAGAATCCCGAAATAAGATCTATGGAAGATCTCCGTGGCAGCAAAGATGGTGGCAGGAGTGATTAAAAAAACTATAGGAAAAAAAAAGAAAAACAGCTTTTCAAAGTCTGATTTTAGGGCAAAGTCAGCAAACTTAAAGTGATTTTGATTAGATTTGAAACACAGTGTCCACAGGGCTTTTTGATAAAACATAGTGGTGATGTGGCTGTGTGTCATCAGATTAGCAGGATTAAAAAACTGAAAAACATGTCTAGAACCACCTAGCACAGCCTGCATGACCCACATCATTGTTTCACCTGTGAAGATGTTGTTGTCGTACTGCCTTCTGAACAGCGGCATCACATTGGGACGAAGCGTGATCTCTGGAACTTCAGCTGCATGGGAAGCTTCCAGTGGCAAAAACTAAAAGTAAATAAGATTTGAAAAAGTAATTTGATCAAATTATCTTGCAAGCCCAACCTGCAAGATAGGCCGTCTAGAGCCCATGGGCCCATTCAGTCTCCCCCAAACTCCCCCTTGTGGTAATAATGTTGAATATATACACAAATAGCTGCAGAACTTTGAGTGAAGTCCATTGAGTATTTGACAAGATCAGAAAATTGCTATATAACTGTAGAAAAAGCGATGCTTTAAAAGTGTGAATCTGGATTAAAACACTGCGATGAGACGCATTATAATAAAGTAGAATTAAATATATAATGACAACATCAATGAAAAACATTTTAAGTGGTTTGTGTGCTTTTTTCCCCACTATACAAGGCCTACAAAAACCCTTACTGTGCATCTATTGCTATTACATGATCCCTGTGGTCTGAAAAGGACGCCTACCTGAGGCAACTGTTGGGTTACTCTGATCTGACTGTGTGGGCGGTCGTCGATCTGGAACCTGGTTGGCTCGAGATGGCGCCTCCGATGTCCCTTTGGGATAATTCTCTGACCCCTCCTCCAATAAAAGTTCACCTGGGGACTGAGATCTAAGAAAACAAATATAGATCAACATTAGAGGACTAGGATCGTTAAGTAGAAAAACATGGCACTCATACTTCATGCTATCTGGAACTCCTTGTCTTATGTTTTGAGCAATAAAACTTGTTAATATCTTTGTATTATTTTGGCAATAGTCATAAGATTATTATAATAAAAGCTGGAGTTTTGTGATATGATAAGTTTCAGATTTTAATGGGCCACTCTAGTCGAGTTTTGTTTTTGCCCGAAACAACAAATCTACTTGGAACGTTTGTTGCTATATAACTCTGTGTTGTTCACTATGAATGCCTTTATTTTCCTGAAGGTATCCAGACTAACTAACTACAGCGTCTTTAGTTCCACTTCATCATACACACCCAGACTGGACAGCTGCAGCAGTGGGTTGTATTTAGCCAAACTGTAGGTGAGTCCAGACACTAGGCTCCTCAGAAAAGGTCCGACCACCTGCTCTTGGTGTCTGTACATGAAAGGCTTGCGTTTCCTAAATTGCCAGTGCTCTTGCAGGATTACACGGGTCACCAAGGAGCGTATGTCCGCGAACGCATCATCGTCGATTCCCGGAATCGCGGCTGTGGTCTTCTCCAAGCCCGGGGTGAATTTCTCGGGCAGGCCCGGGATGTACGCGGTTTTAGTGAAGTGCTGGTACCATCTGTCTGCGTTCCGTGCGAAGGTTTGAGGGTAAACTACAAATTTCTCCCGCTGGATGCGAGTGATGAGGGACAGCTTGTCCTCCACGGAGGAGGTGCATATCTTCTTCACCTGTTCCTCAATCTGTCGCCGCCGCGCAGATTTACTTTTAGCCGTTAGAGAGGGGACTATTGGAGGGTACGCTGGCTCCTTGACCGAAACCTCAGTGTGGACAAGCTTTTGGCTTCTGAAAGGAAACAAATTTCTGGGGAACAGCAAGGGTAGCCGTGTGCGGGCCGCCATGTTTGCTTAACTTCTTCTTCACTTTTCGTTGACACACAAACTAACAGTCTTTCAGAGCAGCGCCCCCTTGCGGAAAAAAGAGCCAGGCTCAATGCTAACGCCTACATAAAGTAATATAAGTCAAAACTTAGACCGGTATTAAAGAAGATTACATTTTATTTTATTTACTTGTGGCAGTGGTCTTGTAATTTAATAAAATGGTCGAGTAATTTAATAAAGCTTAGCTTGTATTAGCATTATGTTTAGCGCCAGAGAACGTTGACGGTCTTGAATGAAGCCCTGTCGCGTAAGCGATGGTGCATTTATGTTGACTCAGAAATTTCGGAATCTGTTGTTGAACCGGCTAAAAACGTGGGTACAAATCTAAAACGTTCGCTAAACTTTGAAACCAAAATCATTCAAAACTATAGCGAAAACGTCATACTCGTGTTACACTATGTATTTTCTATGTAGCTTATTGTAAACGGTGGCAGACGCTAGTAGAGATTTGATGCAACAAGAGCAATCAAAACGGTAGGGGAGTACCCGAAGGCTACGTCAAAGTTGGACTTTTAGGACGGTGCAACGGCTCTGGTTGGGTGCAGTGTTTTTTGTCAATAAACAGGCTGTTCGGCCTTTAAAATTATATAGACACAAAATTATTTGCACCAAAACTGCAAAAGCCAGCTATGTACTGTCGTCAGATTTTGCGGACACCATTGTTCGGGACGAGAGCGGCTAAGCTCAGCCGTTTTCCCCATGTTTGTCGAAGCGAGGTATCTGCTATCAAAATAAACCGTCCTGTTGTCATTCTTGTCAACATATTCCTTTCGTTAGCTGCTGCAGAGCATGTTGACAATACCTGTCCTACTGGTGGTGGCTGTGGTGAACCTGCAGTGCCCCACCACCACCAAGAGGTTTGGTTTCATTGCGACACGTACTTAAAGCAGCTTTTTGATTTTCCCATGTGTGATGCATGCCTGTCGTTCACCCCCAGAGACCCCTGTGCACCAAAAGTGACGAGGTGAGGCTGGCAGAGGAGGCCAGCAAGAAGTACGGCTCCCCAGCTCCAACCATCTTCTCCAAAGTGATCGACAAAAGCATCCCTGCAGATATCATTTATGAGGATGAAAAGGTAAGCACAGTCTGAGCTCATAAATAAGCATTTTGTGGTTACATTTCTGCAGTTCAGTCCTTCATATATAAGATTTTTTTTTTCTGTGTTTATCAGTGTTTGGCATTCAGGGATATCAGTCCACAGGCGCCTGTTCACTTCCTGGTTATTCCAAGGATTCCTATTCCCAGAATAAGTGAGGCCAAAGATGATGATGCTGAGGTAAATTGGTGTTTTCTTGTCTAGACTCTCAGATCATGTCACGAGCAGTGAGATTGTGGAGCACATGCTCCCTTTCTATGTCTATGTGTCACTATTTGACATGTCTGTGAGATTAATTTCCAGAGCATCAACAGACAGCTGGTTTATTGATGTTTGTGCCTACTCAGCTTCCGCACAGCTTGTTTTAGCTACAAGTTTATAGTATATAGGAACCAGCTCACCCCAAACTGTTGTCACAACACTGGAAGAAATCTATAGGTGAAGCACTAAAGGCGCTACCTTTCCCTCATTTGAAACCAGTACTACCCAGATTGTAGCCTTAAACCAGGTGTTGGACCAAAGAGCAGGTTAAATATGCCCAGATGTTCTTTTGTTTTCTGGCTTTCCTAATGTAGCAACCAGTATGAGTGTTTTTGCATTGAATGGGCAGTGTTGACATCAAATAACCAGCAACAAATGTGGGCTGGTCTGCAGCCTCATATTTCCCACAAGGGAAGCAACCTATAATCCTAAATAGATATCAGGTAAATAAAATAATATAGCAGGAAAGTTGTAAAGGAGTCCAGCCGTCCAGATTAAAATTCAAACACAGATTAGATAGATATACAGACAGATGTTACTGTTGTTATCTAGATTCCCTTGTTTAACAGTCTAAGAATAAAGAAGAAATCTAAAAACAGAAGGTGTCTACTACTTTTAAATCAGATAAAAAAAATCAACAAGCACAAATATGTGTTCTGTTTTAGGATTTGATAGTAACACTTATAGAGCAAAAACATTGTTGTAAAATTGGAAAAAGAAAACAAATCAACAAATAGTTTCTTGCATGAGTCTGTTGTTATTATTGGTGCAAAAGACAAAGACTTCAGACGATATTTAAAAAACTTTAAAACCTCCTACTGTACGTGCACAGACGTCTGAGGAATCCTTCACGAAAGGTGACGCTATTTCCCGGAGATCTGAGTGGTCAGTAGGCGTTGATTTCATACCTGATGATTACTGATCTGGAACGTAACTTGCTCTAGTCCAGGTTAGTATCACAGCAAGTTACCATGTTAGAAGTAGTTCAGAAATCCCAGGATAAGTCCCAAAGTTAGCTGGATGAGCCTGCTGTAGGTCTCACATCCAGTTTGGTCTCCTCTGTGACCGGACACACTAAATATTAATCTTTAAGAAGTCATAACTACTTCATTTACAGCTCACTGTCGACTGGAAATAATCTCTTCAGCTCTCCTTTCCTCCACTTTCAGCTCTTAGGACATTTATTGGTTGTTGCCAAAAATGTGGCAAAGCAAGAATCTCTGACTGAAGGGTACAGAGTGGGTAAGTTAGACCATTTTACCGTAATGATTCTCCAGACATTAATGTGACTATACAGACTGTTTGTTTACACCCACACTGAATTCCCAGTGATCAACGACGGGAAGCACGGTGCTCAGTCCGTCTACCACCTTCACATCCACGTCCTGGGAGGAAGACAGATGAAATGGCCACCAGGATAAGGGCTTCACATTTACTGTGGTGTCTCAGTTTAATCCAATAATAATGGCATAATACCTGTTTATACACAAAGCTGATGTCAATGTAAATATGTTGGAAAAAATGTGTGAAAAGGAAAAGTCGTTGATGTTGATGTTTGATATGGCTGCAAATAAAGACACATTCTGTTATGGAACAATAAAGCTCAAGTCAGTTCTTTAATCTCTAATTAAGTCAGGATACTGTTACCATGGCAGCAGCTCACATTTAAGAGCAAAGATTCAAAACAACAAGGTCAGATATGTGCGAGTAATCCCTCTCAGAGGAAAAGTTCATGCTTCACTCTGCCCAGAAACACTCAGCTTCAGGCAGTTTATTCCTTCACCCACCTGCTCTTCAAACCTTCTCAACAGCTCATTTCAGACAGCAAATGAACTGAGGAGCTACGCCCAAGCCCAGGATAAGATTAAATATATAATTATATACTAATGCTTTAACAGCAATGAAGTGTTTGAGGTTGCCATGCAGTGGAAAATCCTCATCCTCCTGCAAACCCCCCACAGGATAGTGTAACCTCTGGAACGGAGCTGCAAATATATATGTGTGATATAAGCATATATTAACTAATAAACCTAGACAGTAAATACAAGTGACCTGCCCAGACTGTACTCAACACCTTTTTTAACTTGTATTTGTTTTCTTTTAAAACACTTGAGTTATTTTTATATTTGCTTTCTTATGTGTGGGCCTTTTGATTTGACACCCTGTAGGGGTTAAATGGTTTGCTCCTAGAACGAACTTGCTGTATTGCTGTAAAGCACTAATAAGTAGTAAGCTTTCCGTAGTTGTTAATAAGGGAGAAACCTTTAAAACTGCAAAAAGTTTGATGTTTTAAGTATTTTTGTTTCACACTTTCCACTGAACACAAGTCAGCATTGTTCGTCCACTGGAGACGTTTCATAATAGAGAAATGTATATGGTCTATTATGTAATAACCATTACTATCTCTGTGGAGTCTTATCACAAATTGGACCCTGTTTAAAGGGAGGCAGTCTAATATTCATTACCTGCAGCTCATTTTTGTGTGTATTTTAGTGTCCGTCTGGTCGGTATGGCTGCTGGCACTGATGAAGCCCCTGATTAATGGTTCAAACACATGGCTTGTGCCCAGACTACCACTGTGAGTCACAGTTGGAGTGGCTATGGTGTGACTAGGTGGTATGATTCAGCGACCTTAGTTCCTGTAAGCAAGGTAACTGTGTGTCAAAAGCATAACCTTTCCCCTATATTTGCTTAGAAAACAGTGTTCCCTGCCTTTAATGGCGCAGGGAGGATAGAAGATGGTTAAAAGAGGACTCTGCTAATGATTAAATATTTCTTTTCCATTATCGTTTCTTATTGATTTCTTTTTATATCTCAGAAAAGAACTAAAGAGATTTTTTTTTTAAAGGAATGCATCCTTTTTTATTGCTGACATCTCCTTTTTCTTGATGTGCCAATAAAGTTGGGTGGGCGAAACCAGATTTGCACAAGTTGTCCTTATGCTGAAAACGTTGTTGTTGTTGTTTTTTGCTAGGTCAAAGTATCGCCTCATAAACCCAGAAAGATCTCATCTAGTTTTATCATTTATTTCTATGACCGGCCTCATCCTTCATGTGATAATAACCGCCATCACAAGTTTAACTGAGACAATAAACACTTTAATAATACCCCCACCCATCAAAGCTTTGTTATCTTATTGGATGCTTGACACTTAATCCCGCAACTGAATATAACCAGTGCCTATAGCTGTTAGAAACTCCAAACAAAGCTACAAGCAGATCTGAAACCCACTGGATTAAACTCACTTCTTTTTAGTGCAAATCAAAACTTTTTTTTTAGCCAGTTCTCCTTGTACAGCTCTATCTGGTTGACACAACCTCTGCAGGAGGTGTTGAGAGGATTGTGCAAGTCTCATGAGACCAAGGAACACGTCAATCTTATCAAAATCTCCTGTGCGTTGATATTTACCCCAGGGGGCAACATCTGTGAACCTGCATTGAGCAAAGGTTGATGCAATTTTGTCTCACACCTGACTGCAGCCTTGAAGTTGATGCCACTTGGGTCTGTCAGCAGAGAAGGTAAGATATCATTTCTACAGCAGAGATTTCTGTCTTTTGAACGTGTTAAGTGAGAAAAGAATAAACTGCTATTTAGACTGCAGGATGTGCATAAAGATTTATTTTTACTCATAGAAATTCAGACTTGTTTGTGCTGTTTTTTCTATTTTTCCTCACTGAGTATGTACACTGCAGGGTAAACACGGCTCTGGAGATGTATAGTGAATGTGTTAAATCAAACATATGACTGAAACGTAGGAATAGATGTGAGCAGGCACATCCACAGAGAGTTAACATCTCTCACTGCTGCTGTTTTTAGATTTTCCAATGCATTTTCAATAGTTAAGGTGTTTTTCTGTGTAATGTGAGAACTAAGTCACCAGTGAGGCTAAAATGAATTTGTTTGAATCACAGGACAGTTTATAAAGTTTTTACATAATCTGGAGCAAAGATTTTTCCTCTGCTACTTAATGTTGCCAAACTGCAGTTTTGTAAGTTTATGAACTTTGGTCCAGAGAAATCTTGTCAAGGGCAATCTTGAAATTTTGAGGTTGGACTGAGATCCTGCTTATCTTGACAGATTTTAATCTTTAATACAAAGACAGCATTTGTTAGCCATCTGGTGCAACATTGATTATCAGATTTATTGTTGTTACATCCCTGCAAAAAGACTGATTGCTTTTATTGGTGCAGTTAATTGAACTTGGAGGAAAATATCTGCAGAAAACCTTTCAATTGTTTCTGCTGTTGCTAAATATTCCCATTAGAGGGCATTCATTCACTGTGTGCAGCACAGGGCAAGGAAGAGTTATTTTAAGTCTGACATGATTGTTATTCAGTATGTTAACTGGTAATGGCAGCACTTTCACCATTATCTGGGTGAAAGGTGCTGCTTGGAGGCAAAGTAAGTCTACGTGGATTTAGCAATGCTTCTTGCCGCAATACTAGTAGTTTCAACATGCACTGCTGCTGCGTGTGTGATTGGCAACACATGCGGTCATTGGCTGTGACCTGTTGCACTGACTTTGGTGAATGTCACATATAAATGAGTGGAGTGATTCTGTTTCATAATCTTAACTGCTTGGAGAGTCCTCGGTGGAGGGTTTCTGGAGGGTTTTCATGCTAATTTCATCTTCTCTGTTTCTAACAGACATAAGCTCAAAGGAAATTAATTTATGAAGAGCAATAGCCCTGCAGTTATGGATGGTAACAATGAAAGGTATGTAAAGAGAGATGAGTCCCTGGGCAGATCAAATAGATAATATAGGACCACTTCTTTTCAAACTATCTAAAAATTAGATTTTACGATCATCATCAGTTCTCATTCGTGTCATCTCAATGTCTGCTCCAGGATTCCTGCTCAAACTGAGTCAGATGCCACAGATATAAAGACCCACACATCTGTCATACTCAATGGGAAAGCCAAGACGGGCGACTTCAGTGCAACACAGCCTCCAAAGATCCATCCACCCAGTAACACTGAGTTACTGACCCGGCCTCCCATGTCGTCTGAGCAGAAGGGAGCTACTGAAGGATTTTCCACAGGTAAGAGTGAAATGGCGATGGTAACGGTACGAGAAAATGCCTCCAAACTAAAAGAAAATTGTCTGTCCTTGAGTGTAAACCACAAAGTTTTCACATAAGAAGCTAGAGTGAAACCCCCCCACTTCTTTTCAACAAATTCTGTTTATTATCTTGTTTTAGGTTGATTTAAATAATTATTTTCAATAAGAAGACTGAACACGTAAAAGCATTTGCAAACTGTAAAAAAGCTAATGAATAAACATTGTCACTTTAAATGTCAAAACACAAAGGCATTTAAGGCAAGATATAACCTACTCTGTGGAGAAACAAGAAAATAAATATAATTTTAGATATTTTCAGACATAAAATGACCGCAAGCTGGAAGGAAAAGAAATTTTCGGGAAATATGAAATCAAAAAAGACAATAACACTTAAAAGAAATCACTCCTCTCATAAAGACAGATGGCTGCAAGGCTTTAAAATTTCTTAGGAATGCTGAAGCATACAGGATTACTGAGGCATCAAGTGCTAAAGATCGTCTTGAACACGATCTTTAGCACTTGAAACCACGTGAAACACTGTCGAGAATTTTTACTGGATGGCTGAATTCACTATGTTGTCTGTGTGCTCATTCAGTCCTGTAGCTAAAATTACATGACTTCTTCATGCTGAACCTGTTTGGTAGGTACGCATTTGTAATGTGGAACTTCCTGTTTCAGCTCAGATAACAGCAGAGGCTTTACTGCACACTGCACATTAAAGTAACGCACCTAGGGTAACAGCACAGCGATATCTGCAGTCCTGTGATACACCTGACTAGCTGTGTCTTTTGACTTGTGATTCATGGAGAGTATATGCAACTGCCCTTGTTCTCACAATACAGAAGAGCCCAAGGCAGTTCCCCTGTCGACGGCCCATTTGGCAACAACTCTAGCCCCAGCTGACCAGTTATGGAGCACCGGCAGAGAGCAGGCAGTGAGGCTGAGAATGGAGGAATCAGGGCCAGGCTCAGAGGCTCCCATCACCGTCCATCAGATGTTCCTGGAGACAGTCGAGAAGTATGGGAATCATCCAGCTTTGGTTTCCAAAAAAGATGGCCAGTGGATGACTCTAACCTGGAACCAATACTACGAGCAGTGTCGTGCAGCTGCGAAAAGCTTTCTCAAGGTTTGTTTGCTTGTTTTGCAAATTGTCCTGCATCTGTTGAACAAAAATTACACTTCAGTGAACTTCAAATATAGTGCAAAGAAGCTATTTGGCAGTCGTAGATCTTTAGAATGTTATTAATTTGCCTTAAACATTATTT